GTTAGGAGCTCCCCATTCTTAAGGTAGAGGTTTTTATATAATTTAATACTCACTTGTTTGCTTAAAATTATATAGAGATATGATAAATTTGACAAATAGGGGAATGATTAATTTAACTTGAGAAAACTAGTTAATTAATTTAAAAAAATCTGTCATCACATGCAATAATACTCAACAAATTGCTTTTGGAGGTATATTAATCTAAAATTTCTATTGATTGGTTATAGAGAAGTCAGAGCCTTAGTACCTCATATCTTGATTTGTTTTATTTTAATTGTTTTTTTTATTATTTTTAATTAAAATTTATTCTTTTTTTTATTGTTCAAATAAATTTAAATTAATTATTTTGGTACTTAGTTAATGACAATCCTCATGAATTCGATACTCTACTTATCATTATATTACTTGAAACAACTAATATGCTTATTAGAGTAATTTTAGCACATCAACTATCACCACCCTTTATTACGTCGTGCATTAATTCCAAATTCAAATCATCATCTCCCTCCATTGGTTCCTCACATAATGAAATTAATTCTTCATTCCACCTTGATTGATTCTCATCAATGCTACCCCCATATCCACTGCTAATCCCTCCATTTTTTTATTTCATCTTCTCCTTAACAACCCTGATTAGAGTAAAATCCCAATTCTGTCCTTGTCTCGCTTTGCTGATCACTGTTGGACAACCATCAGTCAAGGTCCAATCTCTATTCTTTCCTCAGTCACCTGTAACTTGAACAATTGCCCATCGACCTTCAAACTAATACTTTTTGTTATTTTGTTCATATCTGATCAGAGAATCAAGACTTTGCCATTACACAAAAAAGATTTCTTCTTCATATCCTCGTGGATTAATAGCACATCACCCATTGTGCTTGCAATTTAATTAAAACATCTCTTGCTCCATGCCCTTAGCGGCACCCCTAATATACGTAGCCAAACCATTCTATTGCTCATTTGCGAGGATAATGCCCATGGTTGCAACATCTCAAACCAAAGATCAATAAGTTACCTATTGTTCTTCATGAACTCCTCTAGATACCCTTTCACTCTTTCTAATAGTAGTGCTCTTCGACCTCCTAGTGGAGAGATTGTAATCAAGCCTCCATCCACATCTACTCTCTCCTGTATACTTGTTATCCATGCTAGTGATTTCACCACTGCCACCATTCTCCCTTCAAGCCATTCGATCTCTTCCTCCCTAGGAAAAATTCAATAACACTCTTATTGGTTTTCTATTCATCCATTTTGTCCTTCTCACATGAGACCACCCCTTCTTTCTCTCCAAATTGATTACCAAACCATGATATACCCTTCTTAATTAGTATCATGTTACTGTTTTCTTTCTCTTGTATCTGTTCTGTTATATGTTGACAACCACTTAAAATTTTAAAAATCAATATGTAAAAAATATAATAAAAAATTAAGTGTGAAAATGGAAAAGATTGAAGCCACAACTTTTCCAAATTATAAAGTGCGACAAGCCATCTTAAACATGGTCTACACAAAGATTAGGGTCCGAGGGTACAATTAAGAGCAAAAAAAGTCATACATGCACCTTACAATCGTCCGTGTAAAATATAGTTGCATACTTTAACATTTTGGAATTTATTTAACTTTTATTGTTTTTTATTTTGATTGAGTGGACATAAAAAAAGTAAATGGATGAAATTGAAAAGTTTGAAAATACTTGACTAAATTGAACAAAATCAAGAACATGCATGCACAATTGCAAACAAAATAAAAGGTTGAGGGACTGATTTGTTAAATTTTGAAATTTAGACTGAATTAAAATTATTTAATACTAGTGAGGCAAATTGTTTAATCACAAACAATTTTGACCTTTTTTTTAATGTCAACTTGATTAAGGAAATTAAAAAAGATTAAGACTAATTAATCAAATTAATTTGATTTAATTGAATAATTTATTATCAATTAATTAAAACTAATTAAAATAATAAATTAATTTTAATTGAAATTAATTAGACTAATTAATCAAATTAATTTGATTTAATTGAATAATTTATTATCAATTAATTAAAACTAATTAAAATAATAAATTAATTTTAATTGAAATTAATTAAACTAATTAATCACCTTTTAAATCAATTATTAAGATTTTTGTTATTTTTATGCCTTCATATTTTTCATATTTTTCATTTATTTGTTGGGCCAACTCACAAGACTCACTCACAACGCAAACAGGCCATGATGCATTTTTTAAATCTATTTTATCCCATGACTTAAACTTAGGCTGACTCAACCCACAAACATGATTCATATATCAATTTAGGTCCCAACAGAAAAAAAATTGTGGATTTTTAGGTTTCTCTTTTTATTTTGTTCTTTTTTTGTTTTTTAGGTTCAATCAAGCTCCTAACAGTAAAAAGAAACCAAATCAAACGCAGATCTCATGCAAATTTCATATGCACCAAACAAACAACCAATAATGAGTAAAATAACTCCAATATTCATCGATTAACATCATCATTAACAAAAATGAAGTCAACATCAAAGCAAACAATTTTTTTTTTTTGAAAATTAAACGGCGAAATTTTGGGTGGTCGATCGGAGTCTAATCTAGGGTACCCCACCCATGGGATAGTCCTCGGATCTCTCTTCACTACTGCTCCAAAATTCCTCTGTTTTAGAGAATACCCGTGGGAGATAAGACTGACAATGGAGGCCGTGGTGGTGGTTCAGAACTAATGAATTGAACCAAACAAAAGGGAGCTATCCACAAATGGTCCTATAGCCGAGAAGAAGAGAAACTGAGAAGAAACCCAAGATGTACTGCTGATGGTGTACGGTTGTAGTGATGAAAAGGTGATGCTCATGGAGATAGAAATGGAGATCGAGATCGAGATCAAAAACGGAGTCGATGGTGGCGGCGATTGTTGTCGAAAGGGAGAAGGAGCAAGAACCCTCCTTTTTTAATAGGCGGCTTTGTGCCCTTTAAAAAAATGCTCCGAACCTCTTCCTTTGGATATGTAAAATTAGTAGAATATACATTTATCCCTCACTTTAATAAATTAATGGTTTTAATTTTTTATTTTATATTACAATATAAAGTTTTTAATTTTTAAATTTAAATATTTAAAGATTTTAGTCTTTAAATTAATGAAATTTGTTAACTTTCTGGTAAAGTGAGAATAAAATATTTATAAAATTAAATTTTTATATTTTTTTGTTAAAGAGTAATATTATATTTAAACTTATTTATTATAAAAAAAATATATTTTTTATATTGGTTATAAAGTATCTTTTGGTATTAAAATTAATTGTCATATACATTTTTTTGTTAAATTTTTTTTTCAAAAATATATGTTATAATTACACAAATATCCTCTTACTTAATATTATTTAAATAATTAGTG